ACCACTTAAGTGGTATACTGCAATTACCACTTAATAAGCGGTATACTGCAATTACCACTTAATAAGTGGTATACTGCAATTACCACTTAAGTGGTATACTGCAATTACCACTTAAGTGGTATACTGCAATTACCACTTAAGTGGTATACTGCAATTACCACTTAATAAGTGGTATACTGCAATTACCACTTAAGTGGTATACTGTAATTACCACTTAACAAGTGGTACACTGTAATCACCGCTTACAAAGAAGTGGTTTACTGTAACCACCACTTACGAACAAGTGGTACACCGTAATCACTTACGAACAAGTGGTACACTGTGTCACCACCACTTAGTAGAACTGGGACAGGTTATAACCACTTAAGGAGACAGTACTACCTATGAGAGAGAGAGAGAGAGAGAGAGAGAGAGAGAGAGAGAGAGAGAGAGAGAGAGAGAGAGAGAGAGAGAGAGAGAGAGAGAGAGAGAGAGAGAGAGAGGCAGGAGAGAAGCTTTCCTCCAATACCGTGTGCAGCCACTATCTCCACTCTCCTAATTCCAGGTAATTACATTAAAACCATCATATATATAATCTCTCTGATGGAGGAGAAGGGAGGGGGAGGGGAAGAGAGAGAGGAAGGGACAGGGGAGAAAGTGAATGAGAGGATTCCCACTCCCCTTTCCCCCTCTCTACCCTTTCTCCCCTCCCCACTCTCTCCCAACCCCCTTTCCCCCTTCCTTCTCCTCCCCCCCTTTCCAATTTCCTACTCTGAGGCAAATGAGATAAGGATGGTTTCCTGACAGCCATTTGTCACCACACTATCAACTCACATCAATCAGCTCACACCACTCAGCTCACACCACTCAACTTTCAAACAACTCACGAATACACAAAAAAACACGTTTCGGAAAAGCCAGTGTCGAAACGCAAGAGAGAGAGAGAGAGAGAGAGAGAGAGAGAGAGAGAGAGAGAGAGAGAGAGAGAGAGAGAGAGAGAGAGAGAGAGAGAGAGAGAGAGAGAGAGAGAGAGAGCACGAAACACAAGACAACTCACAACTAACAAGCACCAGGAAACACCGCTAACTCACGGGAAATAGACAACGAAATATGGGGGAGGGAGGAGGGTGAAAACATCGGGATGGGGGAGGCAGAAACTCCCACGAGACGATGTTTCACCCCTTCTCCTCCTCCCAGGGCAGTGGGCAGTAATTCAGTGGATGGTGGCGGGCAGGTGGCTGGCTGGCACTACCAGTGATATATACACACACACTACTACTACTGCTGGTATCTAAATTACCAAGCCAGGTAGGAACCCAGAGGGCCAGCAGTAGTCCAGGAACCAGAGGCTACAAGAACCAGAGGCTACAGGAACCAGAGGCTACAAGAACCAGACGCTACAAGAACCAGAGGCTACAGAAACCAGAGGCTACAAGAACCAGACACTACAAGAATCAGAGGCTACAAGAACCAGAGGCTACAGGAACCAGAGGCTACAAGAACCAGAGGCTACAAGAACCAGAGGCTACAAGAACCAGAAGCTACAAGAACCAGAAGCTACAAGACCCAGAGGCTACAAGACCCAGACGCTACAAGAACCAGAGGCTACAAGAACCAGAGGCTACAGGATCCAGAGGCTACAGGAACCAGAGGCTACAAGAAGGCTACAGGAACCAGAGGCTACAGGAACCAGAGGCTACAAGAACCAGAGGCTACAGGAACCAGACGCTACAAGAACCAGACGCTACAAGAACCAGACGCTACAAGAACCAGAGACTACAGGAACCAGAGGTTGCAAGAACCAGACGTTACAAGAACCAGAGGCTACAAGAACCAGAGGCTACAAGAACCAGGGGCTACAGGAACCAGAGGCTACAAGAACCAAACGCTACAAGAACCAGAGGCTACAAGAACAAGAGGCTACAGGAACCAGAGGCTACAAGAACCAGAGGCTACAGGAACCAGAGGCTACAGGAACCAGAGGCTACAAGAACCAGAGGCTACAAGAACCAGAGGCTACAAGAACCTGAAGCTACAAGAACCAGAAGCTACAAGAACCAGAGGCTATATGAACCAGAGGCTACAAGAACAAGAGGCTACAGGAGCCAGAGGCTACAGGAACCAGAGGCTACAGGAACCAGAGGCTACAAGAACCAGAGGCTACAAGAACCTGAAGCTACAAGAACCAGAAGCTACAAGAACCAGAAGCTACAAGAACCAGAGGATACAGGAACCAGAGGCTACAGAAACCAGAGGCTACAAGAACCGGAGGCTACAGGAACCAGAGGCTACAGAAACCAGAGGCTACAAGAACCAGACGCTACAAGAACCAGAGGCTACAGGAGCCACAGGCTACAAGAACTAGAGGCTACAAGAACCGGAGTTTACAGGAGCCAGAGGCTACAAAAACTAGAGGCTACAAGAACCAGAGGCTACAAGACCCAGATGGCTACCACCTACAACACGTCTACAGGAGGCTACAACACGTCTAAAGGTAGACCTACGACCAGCAAAACTTGTGGCTGAATGAGTGTGAGGGGACCAAGACTGGTATGCATTTAGCTAATGAGAGCCACTAAGTTTAATATATATTGAGGAGGGGTGAGAGGGAGGGAGTCAGGGAGTAGCCTACAATACTACCCAGGTGAGGGGGTTCAGGGAGGGGGTCAGGGAGGGGGTCAGGGAGGGGGTCAAGGAGGGGGTCAGTGAGGGGGGAGGGGGAGGGGGTTATAACCAACGATGGACATAAACATAATTCTTGAAGTAGAGAGAAGCGTCTTTTAGAGACACTAGGCGGGGCCAGGGGCTGTAGTTCGACCCCTGCAACTACATGTAGGTGAACAACAACAACACACACATATACGCACACACACACTGAAGGGCAGGAGGACTAAGGAGATATGATAACGATGTACAAAATACTACTAAGGCCACTACTACTACTACGACTACTACCACTAACGACTACTACTACTAACCACTACTACCACTAACCACTACTACCACTAACGACTACAACCACTAACCACTACTACCACTAACCACTACTACCACTAACGACTACTACTACTAACCACTACTACCACTAACCACTACTACCACTAAGGACTACAACCACTAACCACTACTACCACTAACGACTACTACCACTAACCACTACTACCACTAACCACTACTATTAACGACTACTACCACTAGCGACTACTACCACTAACGACTACTACCACTAACCACTACTACCACTAACGACTACCATTAACGACTACTACTAACGACTACTACCACTAACGACTACTACCACTAACGACTACTACTAACGACTACTACCGCTAACGACTACTACCACTAACGACTACTACCACTAACGACTACTACCACTAACCACTACTACCACTAACCACTACTATTAACGACTACTACCACTAGCGACTACTACAACTAACGACTACTACCACTAACCACTACTACCACTAACGACTACCATTAACGACTACTACTAACGACTACTACCACTAACGACTACTACACTAACGACTACTACTAACGACTACTACCGCTAACGACTACTACCACTAACGACTACTACCACTAACGACTACTACCACTAACGACTACTACCACTAACCACTACTACCACTAACGACTACTACCACTAACGACATACTACCACTAACCACTACTACCACTAACGACTACTACCACTAACCACTACTACCACCAACCACTACTACCACTAACCACTACTACCACTAACCACTACTACCACTAACCATTACTACCACTAACGACTGCTACCACTAACCATTACTACCACTAACGACTACTACCACTAACGACTATACCACTACCCACTACTACCACTAACCACTACTACCACTAACCACTACTACCACTAACCACTACTACCACTAACCACTACTACCACTAACGACTACTACCACTAACGACTACTACCACTAACGACTACTACCACTAACGAGTACTACCACTAACGACCACTACCACTAACCACTACTACCACTAACGACTACTACCACTAACCACTAACGACTACTACCACTAACCTACTACCACTAACCACTACTACCACTAACCACTAACGACTACTACCACTAACGACTACTACCACTAACGACTACTACCACTAACGACTACTACCACTAACGACTACTACCACTAACGACCACTACCACTAACCACTAACGACTACTACCACTAACCACTAACGACTACTACCACTAACCACTACTACCACTAACCACTAACGACTACTACCACTAACGACTACTACCACTAACCACTACTACCACTAACGACTACTACCACTAACCACTAACGACTACTACCACTAACGACTACTACCACTAACCACTAACGACTACTACCACTAACGACTACTACCACTAACCACTAACGACTACTACACTAACGACTACTACCACTAACCACTAACGACTACTACCACTAACGACTACTACCACTAACGACTACTACCACTAACGACTACTACCACTAACCACTACTACCACTAACGACTACTACCACTAACCACTAACGACTACTACCACTAACCACTACTACCACTAACCACTAACGACTACTACCACTGCTGCAACAAAGACGTTCCCTGTGGTCGTATTTGCTGGGAATTTTCCCTTTTTTCTGCAACACTCCAAATTTCTGATGATGTGTTGACTTCAACACGAAAGACCTAGAACTATCATTCAACTCCCCCGTGGTTGTTTTGCACACACACACACACACACACACACACACACACACACACACACACACACACACACACACACACACACACACACATATATATTGAGGAACTTAAGTAATTTTAAAGTTAAACGAAAACTAAGTTAGAGAGACAAGAAAACTGAAACCTAACTTTGTTGGTGGAGTGAAGTTGTGGAGATAGAAGAATAGAGGAGAGTTAGCTCGAGAGATCGAGAGAGATCGAGAGAGATCGAGAGAGAGAGAGAGAGAGAGAGAGAGAGAGAGAATTGACCGACCTGTTTGCCTCCTCGAGGGCGGCCAGGAGCTTGAGATCATCAGCTGAAGGGTCAGGCTTGGCCAGGACCTCGTTGTTGTTGTGTGACTCCAGGCTGACCTCCGAGTCACTCATGGTGGAGGGGGAGGAGCTGGAGGTGGCAGCGTCGCGGGAACACCCGATACTCGAAGCCGAGCTCTTCCTCGAAGAGGAGAAGCTGGAGGTGGAGCTCTTCCTCGAGGAGCAGCTGGAGGTTGAGCTCTTCCTCGAGGAGCAGATGCTTGAGGCTGAGCTCTTGCGGCTGCCTGCTAGACTGCTGCTGGCGCTGCTGCCCTCAGAGACTCCACTGTCACCCTCACATCTGCAGGCAACACAACACTTCATTAGTAACACATTCAGGCAACATAACACTTCATCATTAACACAGGCAACATAACACTTCATTAGTAACACATTCAGGCAACACACTTCATTAGTAACACATTCAGGCAACACAACACTTCATCAATAACACATTCAGGCAACACAACACTTCATTAGAAACACATGCAGGCAACACAACACTACAACAGTAACACATTCATTCTACTCAACACTTCGTCAGTAACACATGCAGGCAACACAACACTTCATTAGTAACACATGCAGGCAACACAACACTTCATTAATAACACATTCAGGCAACACAACACTTCATCAGTAACACATGCAGGCAACACAACACTTCATTAGTAACACATTCAGGCAACACAACACTTCATTAGTAACACATTCAGGCAACACAACACTTCATTAGTAACACATTCAGGCAACACAACACTTCATTAGTAACACATTCAGGCAACACAACACTTCATTAGTAACACATTCAGGCAACACAACACTTCATTAGTAACACATTCAGGCAACACAACACTTCATCATTAACACAGGCAACATAACACTTCATCATTAACACAGGCAACACAACACTTCATCATTAACACAGGCAACACAACACTTCATTAGTAACACATACAAGCAACACAACACTTCATTAGTAACACATTCAGGCAACACAACACTTCATTAGTAACACATTCAGGCAACACAACACTTCATCATTAACACAGGCAACATAACACTTCATCATTAACACAGGCAACACAACACTTCATCATTAACACAGGCAACACAACACTTCATTAGTAACACATACAAGCAACACAACACTTCATTAGTAACACATTCAGGCAACACAACACTTCATCATTAACACAGGCAACATAACACTTCATCATTAACACAGGCAACATAACACTTCATCATTAACACAGGCAACACAACACTTCATTAGTAACACATACAAGCAACACAACACTTCATTAGTAACACATACAAGCAACACAACACTTCATTAGTAACACATACAAGCAACACAACACTTCATTAGTAACACATGCAGGCAACACCTAACCTAACCAAACAGAATCACAGGAAGCGCCTTGACGGCGTTCCCTGTCATCGTATTTGCTAAGACATCCTCCTCTTTTCTGCAACATTGCAAGCTCCTGATGTGTTGATTGCAACACGAAAGGCCTAGAGCTATCATTCAACTCCCCTGTGGTTGCTTTGCATATATATATACATACATGGAGGTGACAATACAGCTTGTTCACACCTGCATAATAATATTCGCACGTATATAATAATAACAGCTGTAAACACACAAAATAAGCGAAATATATGACAAATTTAAGGTTGGTTTAGTAATGAGCGTTGGTGCCTGAGAGGCTGCCTGAGAAGCTGCCTGAGAGGCAGGCAGCCTCTCAGGCAGCAGCAGCAGCTGGACTCGCGCACCCACACTCTGACTCCTGCTTAACTTGGTGGGTCGCCAACTTGCGCTGCCACCACAGCGCAAGTTGCACCTTCCAGCTTGACGGCCGAATAACTTAACCTTCCATAATAGTTTGCAGCTTATCCAAGTTGGTCTCCGGAGGGTAGAGGGGTGGTGGGGGGTGGGGGTGGGGGTGGGAAGGAAGGAAGGGAGGGAGGGAGCTAGGAAGAGGGAGCACAAGTCTCCGAAGTACTCCCTTACCTCACTCCCTCCTCGAAATGTTGCAAGCGGAGGATAACCCGGGGTAGGGAGTGTTAGCCACCCAGGATAACCCGGGGTAGGGAGTGTTGGCCACCCAGGATAACCCGGGGTAGGGAGTGTTAGCCACCCAGGATAACCCGGGGTAGGGAGTGTTGGCCACCCAGGATAACCCGGGGTAGGAAGTGTTAGCCACCCAGGATAACCCGGGGTAGGGAGTGTTAGCCACCCAGGATAACCCGGGGTAGGGAGTGTTAGCCACCCAGGATAACCCGGGGTAGGGAGGGTTAGCCACCCAGGATAACCCGGGGTAGGGAGTGTTAGCCACCCAGGATAACCCGGGGTAGGGAGTGTTAGCCACCCAGGATAACCCGGGGTAGGGAGTGTTAGCCACCCAGGATAACCCGGGGTAGGGAGTGTTAGCCACCCAGGATAACCCGGGGTAGGGAGGGTTATCCACCCAGGATAACCCGGGGTAGGGAGGGTTATCCACCCAGGATAACCCGGGGTAGGGAGGGTTATCCACCCAGGATAACCCGGGGTAGGGAGGGTTATCCACCCAGGATAACCCGGGGTAGGGAGTGTTATCCACCCAGGATAACCCGGGGTAGGGAGTGTTAGCCACCCAGGATAACCCGGGGTAGGGAGTGTTAGCCACCCAGGATAACCTGAAGTAGGGAGGGTTAACGACCCAGGATAACCTGAGGTAGGGAGGGTTAACCACCCAGGATAACCTGAGGTAGGGAGGGTTAACCACCCAGGATAACCCGGGGTAGGGAGGGTTAACCACCCAGGATAACCTGAGGTAGGGAGGGTTATCCACCCAGGATAACCCAAGAAAATCATTGTGTGGTCCTTCAATCTTGTCCCCCAGGATGCCACCAGCACCAGTCCACTAGTACCCAGGTACCTACTTACTGCTATGTGAACAGTGACAGTAGGTGTAAGGTGACTAACACTCAGGTACCTACTTGCTGCTAGGTGAACAGATACAGCAAGTGTAAGGCGACACGCCCAATGTTTCCACCCGTGCCAGGGATCGAACCACGGACACTCGATGTGTTAGGTGAGTCCGCTGCCAACCGCGCCACGGGTCACCCTCAAGATGCCACCCACGACAGTTTGATAACGGGCATAACACCTGTTCACTGTCAGGTGAAGAGGGGCAACGTACACACGCGCACACACACACACCTGCACTAATACGCACACCCGTCCCTCACGAACAGACACGTCCGTGTTAACACGCACACATAAACATGTACGCTCATCCTCAGTGTCAAAGGCAGATATACACTGTCCTCAGTGACAACTATTCCCCAACAAGCACTAACGACCCCCCAACCACCACTAACGACCCCCCAACCACCACTAACGACCCTCAACCACCACTAACGACCCTCAACCACCACTAACGACCCCCCAACCATCACTAACGACCTCAACCACCACTAACAACCCTCAACCACCACTAACGATCCCAACCACCACTAACGACCCCCCAACCACCACTAACGACCTCAACCACGACTAACGACCCTCAACCACGACTAACGATCCCAACCACCACTAACGACCCCCCAACCACCACTAACGACCCCCAACCACCGCTAACGACCCTCAACCACTACTAACGATCCCAACCACCACTAACGACCCCCAACCACCACTAACGACCCTCAACCACCACTAACGATCCCAACCACCACTAACGACCCCCCAACCACCACTAACGACCCCCAACCACCACTAACGACCCTCAACCACCACTAACGATCCCAACCACCACTAACGACCCCCCAACCACCACTAACGACCCCCAACCACCACTAACGACCCACAACCACCACTAACGATCCCAACCACCACTAACGACCCCCAACCACCACTAACGATCCCAACCACCACTAACGACCCCCCAACCACCACTAACGACCCCCAACCACCACTAACGACCCTCAACCACCACTAACGATCCCAACCACCACTAACGACCCTCAAACTAACAACAACCACCAATCCAGAATCTCGAGTTACTGCGACTACACTGCTTAACGACAATTAACAAGGGACTGGCTGGACGACTAACGACAACCAGACGACCTTAATTAACGACTGGTGGGCAGGCAGAGGGTCAAGGTACCATCATTACCCATGACTGCATGCAACATGCAACAGGCAGACAGCAGAGGGCAGTCTGCCTGATGCTACTTGCAACACTGGTCCAATACCTGATACCAGCACTAATCATGTTGCAATACCAGTAGTGAACATTAAAATGGTATAAAATACCGACAGGTTGTTAGGTAAGACACATATGCAACATAGTACTATGGAACAATGCTCTTCTCCAGACTGAGGGACTGACCACCTCAAAACTTTAAGGGTGATGGACTGATTACATCGTCTTCAAGTATCTTCTGCTTCTATCAACTTTTCTGTACTTGACTGAAGAAGCCTACTGTGTAGGCGAAACGTTTCACAATAAAGATACGTAACTGTTGCATATGTGTCTTACCTAACAATACCAGTAATGTATGAAGGTTCAATACCAGTGATGTATGAAGGTTCAATACCAGTGATGTATGGGAGAGCAACACCAGTGGTGTTTATCAATATCAACTAGAAACACTGGGGCTCACAACAAAGGCAAGAAGCACCACTGGTCAGAAAGCCAGTCAACATCCACAACACTACACAAAGCTACTCCTTGACACGTAGGAGATAGAGTCACATCTTAATCTACACCTGGAGTATTCTGTAAGGATTTTGGTTCCAAGCCTACAGACTGACATCACTCCCTACTGCAGTAACAGACTCGGCAGACATTCCGAAATATATCGAAACAAGATCAAGAATATCTCAGTAAGTGTAAAGGGACCAAGACTCTCCATCATAATGGGGGACTACCAGCACACCCCTGGATTTCTTTTAAAAGGAAAACTGGA